TATAGCCGATCGCTGCATCTAGGTGTTCTCTTCAATCTAACGACGATCAAACTGACAGCCCAATGAGCCAGGGTGAGGCTTGATTGACGCAAGAAGATTTTTCTAGGTGGGAATGTGGTCAATCTGGTGTTCCTCTTTCTAAACCGGAGGGGGGCCCCAATTGAAAGCCAAATTTACTGTTACGGCGGTCACCGTCTCAAATTTTCTGCCCTTAAAGAATAAGGTGAAGCTACGTGTAGATGGCTCGAGGGGATCTGGCCTCTTATGCTGATCACCTCAAGGTCTAGGAGGATCTTAAGTGTCGGATTTGCAAGGCGCCTCAGCATGAAATCTTAAGGCTCGTGACATTCTGAATCAAGGCGACTGACTCAAACGAAGAAACCTGAAAGGTTTTGACCAGGTTGATTATTAAGATATTAACATTTTGTATGTATTAGCAAAAAATAAAACCGTGATATACACCTGTTGACTTACAACATTAAAGAGTTAAAACTGGTGTAACATTCTGTTCTTTGCTAACAAGAACTACACAAAAGCGAAACTGGCGAAGCAACGCGGCCGCCCCGGCCCCGCACGTACCTGCTCCTCCTGCGGCGGCTGTAGCGGTGACAGTCATAGGCATAGTGGCCTTTCTCACCACACTCGTAGCATCTGTCGTTGGGGTCAAAGGGGCGCCGGGCAGGGGGCCTGTCGTAACGGGAGCGCCGCGGCATTCCCGTGGACACTTCCACTCTCACCCTCGAGCCACATATTATCCTGCAAGACATAGTATGTTAACCACAGGATTAACTGCGCTCATACAACGAGCACGAGAAATCAACGGTTGGTGTGGGGTAGGGGGATCACAGACTGCGGCCATAGTAGTCCAGGAGGTTCCAGGCATATACGTACTTCCCATCGAGGCCAAGCACGGCATCTTCAGCGTCCCGGGGGTCCTCGAACTCCACAAAGGCGAACCCCGGCGGGTTCCTCGCGATCCACACGGTTCTCAGTGGGCCGTAGTAGCTGAAGGCTCTCTCCAGCTCGCCTTTGCCCGCGCCCGTGCCCAGGTTGCCCACGTACACCTTGGTCTCTGCGGACGGACGGAGAGACGAACGGACGCCATGTCAGGGCCGCGCCAGGCACGCGGCCGCCCCTCCCCCCACCGCCATCTTTGACTCCGCGTCCATCTTAGAGCGCTCCCGCCGGGCCGCGCCCCCCCCCCGCCCGGACCCGGGCCCCACAGGGTTCGCGGCCCTGCGGGTGTCCCCCGCGCCCCCCTCCTCGCCGCCGCCTCTCTCAGCGGCCACCTGAGGCGACGGACGCTTTCTCCCACTCTCAGCGCGGCGCGAACGCCGCCGCTCTACCCTCCGCTCTTGTCCTCCCCCAGCAGCAGCAGCTCCCACACGATATCCACCCCCCTCCCTCTTTCCCGCCGCCCATACCGTAACGCCCATATCGCGACATGGTCCCGACTTCCCGACCACAGCCCGGGCTCTCTCCGGCGCGACCTTTTATATAGAGGAGCTGCCGCTGCGCCTGCGCATCGAGCTGGGGGAGGGGCGGGGCGGTGCAGGCGCGCGCCTTGTCACTCGCGGGTCTCGCGAGAGCGGAGCGGCCTGAGCGCGCGCGCGCGTTGAATCCCGCAGGGATGGGCCTTTCCCGCCTTTCACTCCTCCAGGCGGGAGGGCGGCGCTGGATGTGGTCGCCTCGTAGCGGCAGCCCCTAAGCCATGGGCCTCCCCGGGGGCTCCTCCTGGGCACGGGCTGCTGGCCCCCCACCAGCCCCACGTAAGCGCTCCCGCCTTGGCGGTGCCAAGAGGGAACAGAGGGGACCAGAGCCCCTTGTTCTGCCTCACACCCCTCATGCGTGACCCACATGGGCTTCTGGCCCTGCTGAGGCTGGGGGCGAAGGTGCTGAGACCACAGTCCTTATTCCACGGCATGGAGGCAGGAGCATTTCCTTCCTCGTAACAAGGCATTCCCAAATAACATGGCATTCCCAAACTGTTCCAAACCTGTTGTGCGGAGTTTGACCCAACTCTGGCTCACACATCAGATCCATCCCAACCACCCCTTGGGTGCTGCAGAGTTCAGGCACTGCTTTATCTCCTCAGGCAGCTGAAGCTTTCAGGTGTCACCCTTTCCAGGGAGACATGTACAAGAGTGCATGTGCAGTAGACATTTTTTAAGACAAACTGACACAAACCTGACAGATTCAAAGTAATTTTAGATAAATCCCAGCAGGAATGAGGAGAGCCTTTTATTAATGAGAGTCAGACAGACTTTTGAGCTGCATGTGAGCACAGCAATGTCTTTTGGTGCTGGATCCTAATAAGGCAAAACAAAACACTGAGATAAATGAGGGCTCTAAAGGCTCCTCACTGGATTAATAATCCCAGGAATAATCACAATGATTCCTGCATTGTGTGTTGTCATAAACTAGAAAAAAGCAAAAGAAACCACAAACTTACTGAATTGCAAGACATTCTCGTTTTACAGAACACTGATTTTCCAATTGCTGCTGCTCTAAAATAACAAATATAGATAGGGAATGCTTTTAAGTGGTTTTAAAACTTGCAATTTGCCTACTAACCTTCCCTAATAATTTTACAAATTTGGGCAACATTATAATTCATGTTCTAAACCAGGAGAACAGTTGCGAGGAAAACAAACAACAATTAACCAACTACAACAACCAAACAAAACAAAACAGCTTTCTGAACTAACTTTTTAAAATCCGGTTTGGAAGTCCAAATGTCACAATTCTCTTTCTAAAAAAAAGAAAAAAATTGTAGACTATTTGCAGGAAAATGGACATATTCTGAACAATCCATATTTTTGAGAAACGCTAGGCCTTGCTTGTCATAACTTTAGAGGCTGCAAGCTGTGTGAAAAACTCTTGTGTTTATACTTACAAACTGTGAAACTATGCAATGTTTATACTTGTTAGCTGTGTGTTTATAGTTAGAAGCTAGGAGAAAATAGTGTGTTTATAGTTGAAAGGTGTGGGAAAACTAGAGATAAAGAGACACCTGGAAAATCTCGGAAAGCCCCTAAAGGCGGATGGATAGGAGGGACTTTGGGTGGCAGGAATGATCTCAGACCGCGTGGACAGAGCTTTGGAACCAGTGAACTGAAGGCATGAGACGCGTGCACAGACTGAGCTATCCAATCACCTTGTTGTAAGCACATACCTGGAAAAAACTAAACTGTATAAAAGTTAATTCAAATAATAAATGGGACATCGCTTTGATCACATTGGTCGTCTGCGTGTGTTTCCTGAACTCCTGCCGTCCATAGGTGCCGTCCGACAGGGACCCTCAGAGCGTTCCCGGAGAACAGCTTCGGCAACGGGAAGAGGGGGCAGGAAAGCCAGCCGTGACGGCGTTGCCCCGACACCGGGAAAGAGCTCGAGCCACAGTCGACTTGGAATCTCACCCTAATCAGGTGAGCGGCTGAGGAGGAGATGGGGTCAGCACTGGGCAAGGAGGAAGAGGCAGTGCTTACACTCCTCCAACATATTCTCTCTAAGAGAGGGTTATCCTATGATTCAGGTACCCTCAAAGGGCTGTTAAATTGGGCCCGAGATAAGGGGTGTATCCCCACAGTAAACGCTGCCTTTGAAATCCCGGTATGGGAAAATATAGGGAAGCAGCTGTGGGAAGAGATGAGCAAAGGATCTAAAGAGGCAGCTCGCTACCCAACGTTGTGGCGGCTGTTAACCGATACGCTGCAATCCATGAGAACTGAGAGGCAAGTTACAGCCTCAGCCTATAATGCATTAGCGAGCAGTGAAACTGAAATCAAAGAGGGCGGGTCAGCTTCCCAGTTTTTATTCACCATTCCTCCGATCCCGATGCCGGCTAATTCCAAAGCACAGGCTTCTGCCCGACCGTCAGCCAGCGGCCCCGGCAGTTCGTCCTCAGCCCCGGAGAGCTCTAGCTCTGTGCGGGACGCCGGGGACCCCACTGCCAGCAGCGCCTCCCCCCGCGGCGAGTCCAGCGACGCTGGCTCTGCTCTGCCGAGCTGCAGCGTCGTCAGCTCCATCGCTCCCCCCGCCACCGCCGCTTCTCCCGCCGCGCCTTCCGAGGCTGCGGCCGTGCCGCCGCGAGGAGCCGCTGCCCCCGCCGCTCCTGCGCCCGCGCCGAGTCCCGGCCGGAGGTCCCGGCCGGAGGGAGCCCCCCCAGCCCCGCTTCGGCCAAGAGCCGCTGCCGCCCCGCCGCCCCCGCCCGCGCCCGCTGCTGCCGTGGACCCCGCGCCGCCGAGCGCCGCTCCCCCGACTGCGACTGCTGCTCACTCTGCCACTGCCGCGACCGCACCTGCGCCCTCCTCCGCCATGGCTCGCGCCGAGCGACTGCCGCCGCCGTCGCGCCCTGCTACGTCATCGCTTCGCGACACCGACCCCGAACCGCCGGGAGCCGCCGCAGCCTCCGCCCCCCCGCCGAACCCGGCGAGACAGCCTCGGCAAGAAAACACGGGGGGGGCGAGGGGCCGCGAACCAGCCCACACTGCCGTGCCGCTCTATCCACCGCTGCCGCCGTCTGTGCCCTCGTCCCCGGATTCCGAAGAATCCGATTTCGAGGACAGACAGAGGGATTTAAAGGACCAGGCACAACTGCAGCAGCTCCTACAGAGATTAAAAGCTTTGGAAACATCTGTGGCAGAAAAAGAGCTGAAGCGACAAGACCCCTCTGCACCCCCTCTGCCATTGCCGGCTCCCCACATCCCCATACAGGGGCAGGCTCCCCCAAGCCCTTTCCTGTCGATTCCACCACCTCCGCAAAATCCATTCATGGAGGGGGCAGGGGGTGGGACCGTGCTGGGAGGATCTGTGAATCTGCCGTTTGGGGGTTCCGGGGCTGGCGCGAGTCGGGAGAGTCCGGTGCAGAGATGGAAGAGAATTCTGCGAGATGCTATGATAGAGGGTGAATTTGTGTCGCTGAGCCCTAACGCATTTCCAGATTTTGTAGAGGGGGGGAGAAATGGAAGCTATGAGGCCTTAGATTGGAAGATGCTAAAAGAAACTAAGTCTGCGATAACTCAGTATGAGTTAAAATCGGGTTGTACTACATTTGTGTTACAGCATTTGTTTTCTTCTACGTTGATGACACCCTATGACACAAAAATGATCGTTAGCACGTTTCTCTCTCCCCACCAGCAGCTACAGTTTTATCAGAGATGGCAAGCAGGGTGTGATGCAGCTGCTGCAATTCCTAGGCACCAGGGGAATCCTCTCTTTGGGGTAACAACTCAAATGCTTATGGGAACGGGTCCTTTTGAACGGGCAGACAGGCAGGTACAATTTGTCAACGAAGTATTACAGCTCAGTCAGGAGCTGGCACAAAAAGCAATACAGGCAGTGCATGATGATGAGACAGGTCCGTCTTTTACTACAGTACAGCAGGGGCCAACAGAGCCATTTGGCAAGTTTATTGATCGGTTGCATCATGCAATTAATACCCATCCCGACCTAGATGAGAACATGAAGGCCAAATTTTTGAACATGTTAGCCTATGCCAATGCCAATGAAAAAACTAAACGAGCTTTGAGTGTCCTGCCACGAGGTTCTACGACGGCTCAGTTATTAGAAGCTGCAGACAGAATGATTCAACAGGAAAAAGCTGCTGACGTGGCTACAGCGGTCGGAGCCGAAGTGAAGCCGTTGATGCAAAAGGGAAATAAACCAGGCAAAAGGAAGACAGAGAAAAAATGCTATAACTGGGGGAAAAAGGGACATTTTAAAGCTCAGTGTCCTGCAGGTCAGAAGGGTGGGCCTCAAGGAGCTGCTGTTCCAAAGTGGTGTGAAAATTGTCAGAAAGATAACCATAACACGCACGAGTGTAGGCGAAAGAGAAACAGGAGGCTGAGTGCGTGGACCCCTCGCGCGATGAACAGCAAGTCAGGGTGCCTGGACAGCTGCCGCGCAGCCACCACCGGCAGCGCCAGAGTGGACTTGGCAACAGCAGTAGATGTCACTCTCGAGACACAAGAGGTAGTGGTTGTAGATTCGGTCTTAAGGGGACCCTTAGGACGAGGTCTTAGTGCCTTATTAATAGGAAGATTTTCCGTGTCTCGACAAGGTATTTTGGTTGTTCCAGGATTGATTGATGCTGATTATTTGGGTGTTATCAAAATTATGGTACATACCCTGACACCACCAATTACCATTCCAGCCAAAAGCAAAATTGCTCAGCTCATTCCCTTTCATTCCCAGGTCCCGCATGTAACAGAAAAGGACCGTGGAGAAGGGAGTTTTGGTTCTACCGGAGCCCCGGAAGTGTTATTGGCTGTAGATATTAAAAGAGGAAAGCCAGAAAAAACAGTGGTAGTACAGCATCCTAGCAGACAGTCCATCCAGTTGACCATGCTTTTGGACACTGGTGCTGATGTCTCAATTATTCCTTGTCATAAGTGGCCACCAGCATGGCCTCTGACACCAGCCCCCACGGGAGTGGTGGGGGTGGGCAGGGTGCAACAGACATGGATCAGCCGTGACGTGGTAACCTTTTGCTTTAAGGATGGCAAGTCAGTAGGAACTAGGCCGTATGTTCTGGCATTACCTGTTCCATTGCTCGGAAGGGATGTGTTGGGTCAGCTAGGAGCAAGGCTAGTGACAGACCCTTTTTAGGGGCGGTCACTGAAAAGCGGCCAACCCTGAAACTGAGATGGAAGACAGACACCCCTGTCTGGGTAAATCAGTAGCCACTCAAAGGCAATAGGCTGCAGATTGTTCAGTTGGTCCAAGAGCAACTTGATGCAGGGCATATTGTACCATCCACTAGTCCCTGGAACACCCCTATTTTTACCATTCCCAAAAAGTCTGGAAAGTGGTGTCTTTTACATGATCTCCGAGCTATTAATGAGGTCATGGAGGACATGGGAACGCTACAACCAGGACTCCCATCCCCTGTCATGATTCCAAAAGATTGGGACATCGTAATTATTGACTTGAAAGATTGCTTTTTTACAACCTTTTTGCATCCTCAGGATGCAGAGAGGTTTGCTTTTACTGTGCCTTCCACCAGTAAGGCCGAACCTGCCAAATGTTATCACTGGGTGACTTTGCCCCAAGGCATGAAAAATTCCCCCACATTATGTCAAATGTACATTGCATGGGCATTGCAACCTTTCAGAAAGGAACATCCCCATTTGCTAGTGTATCACTATGTAGATTATATTCTGATTGCAGGAAAACAATTGGAGGCAAATCTGATTGTGGCTGAGTTGCAGGTACAGCTGGAGAAGCAAGGGTTAAAAATTGCCCCAGAAAAGGTACAAAAAAGTGATCCATGGAAGTATCTGGGATGGATCATCACCCAAGGAACAGTGCGCCCACAGAAAATTGATGTAAACACACAATTATCAACTTTAGCAGATGTGCAGCAACTAATGGGAGATATTCAGTGGGTTAGACCTGTGTGGAATCACCAACGACGACATACGTCCTCTTATGCCACTGCTGGGAAGATCTACTGATGCAGATGAACACAACGAACTCACTGCACTGCAAAAGAAAGCTTTACAAAAAATAGCAGACAAAGTAGCTTCAGGATATAGCAATTGCATAATAGCAGAGTGTGCAGTGACTGTGATGATCATTAACTCAGGAGGGGAAAAACAGCACCCCCTTGGGTTAATTTGTCAGTTAACAGATAATAAGAAACTGAATATCTTGGAATGGTTGTTTTTGCCGTATCAGCCAGCAAAGAGAGTTGTAACTAGGCCAGAATTGTTGGCTCAATTGATCATAAAAGGTTGAAGGAGTGTTATCGACCTTACAGGGAAAGAGCCACAGACCATTATTGTTCCAGTAGCTCAGGAATATTTGACGTGGTTACGAGAATGCTCTAATGCATTTCAAATAGCCACGGCAGATTTTCTGGGAAAAATCAGAACTCATTACCCTGCGGACAAGCTGCTGCCGTTGTTGTGGCATCAGAAAATTGAGCAACGGGTTATGAGATCTGAGGTACCAGTTAAGGGTGACACAGTGTTCACAGATGCTGGGAAGAAATCAAGGCGAGCAGCCATCACCTGGAAAACAGGTAGTAGCTGGCAGAGTCAGCTGCTCCCCTGTATTTCAGGGGCTCTTTACAAACATTAGAGCTCAGGGCTGTTGTGTGGGTTTTTCAGCGATGGCAGGATGCTCCAGTGAATATTGTGCCTGATTCCCTTTATGTGGTCAGAACAGTAATGAGAATTGAGGGTGCAATGGTCAAAACAGTGAAAAACGACAGGTTGCATTCCTTACTGCTACAGCTGTCACATCTTGCTAATCAGCAAACTCACCCCTATTTCATACCCCACATTTGCAGTCATCAGAAATGCGGTGGGTTAGCCATTGGCAATAATAAGGCAGACCAGTTGGTGGCTCCAGCCTGGGCTGGGCCTCCAGCTAACTTATTCCAGCAAGCAGTTTTGTCGCATGAATTTTTGCATCAATCAGCAAAGATGTTGGTTAGGCAATTCGGATTAACCTTTACAGATGTTCAGGGTATTGTTCAATCATGTCCATCTTGCCAAAAGGCTGGAGTAGGCATTGGGCTTGGGGTCAGTCCTCATGGCTTGCAGGCCCTACAATTGTGGCAAATGGATGTTACACATGTGGCAGAATTTGGGAGGTTGAAGTATGTTCATGTTACCATTGATACCTTTTCACACGCCATGTGGGCAACTGCTCAAATGGGCGAATCAAGCGAGCACATCATCAAGCATATGCACGTCTGCATTGCAGCATTAGGGGTACCAAAACAGCTGAAAACAGACAATGGCCCAGGTTACGTGTCACAACGTTTTCAGAGGTTTTGTCACAACTGGGGAATTCTGCACGTTACGGGTATCCCACACTCTCCTACCAGGAAATTTTTTAATATGTGGAGACCGTGCATGGAACAGTATTCCACGGCGACCAGCTGGGGGTCCATGTTACTTGGGGGCAAGTTAACAATGTTTGTCCCCTCAGTGCGCGATCTCCTTTCCTGGAAGGCGAACAAGGACTAAGAGAGAACTTCAATTCACAGAAGATTGTAATGATAAAATTGACTTTATCTTCCCTGCAGCCTTTTCAGCTCTTGCGTTCTTTCTACCAGGAGGAGCTGCACTGGGCAATTATGCTCGGATGAAGAAGTTTGCGTGCTGGAGTTTAAAGCAGGCCAACAGCACCTCTAGAATTTTATCAGAATTGTTAGTGGATGTAGATAGTGTACGGCATGCTCTGTTACAAAATAGGGCTGCTATTGACTTTTTGTTATTAGCACAAGGGCACAGGTGTCACGAATTCAAAAGGATGTGTTGCATGAATCTATCTGATCACTCAGAAAGCATCTCTAAACAGCTTTGAGAGATGAAGGAGCGCATGTCTCACATCACCTATGATGAGGACAAATTGTCCAATTGGCTAGGCAAGTTTGGCATCACTGGTTGGGTGAAAGAATTAGTAGTTCAGGGGTTGACACTTTTGATAGCTATAATTTGTTGTGTATTAATTGTTAGTTGTGCTTTACAATGTATAATGAAAATGATCCACAAAGTTTTCAAACAAATATGGATTGTTCAAAAACAAAACGGGGGATTTGTAGACTATTTGAGGAAAATGGACATATTCTGAACAATCCATATTTTTGAGAAACACTAGGCCTTGCTTGTCATAACTTTAGAGGCTGCAAGCTGTGTGAAAAGCTCTGGGTTTATACTTACAAACTGTGAAACTATGCAATGTTTATACTTGTTAGCTGTGTGTTTATAGTTAGAAGCTAGGAGAAAATAGTGTGTTTATAGTTGAAAGGTGTGGGAAAACTAGAGTTAAAGAGACACCTGGAAAATCTCGGAAAGCCCCTAAAGGCGGATGGATAGGAGGGACTTTGGGTGGCAGGTATGATCTCGCACCGCGTGGACAGAGCTTCAGAACTCCTGCTGTCCATAAAAAATAATCTGGTAAGCAGTTCAAATAAACATGCCTACACCACTAGATAATTAATCAAACTAATTTTAAAGGCAGAGGAAAACACTGTTTAAATTTCTTGTATATCACCTTTCACAATACTGTTACAAAAATAGTAAACTGATATATTAAGTGATAAATCAGTTTAATACAGCATCATTACCTAATGGCTTGCTTTTAATAAAAAATAGTGCATGAAAAATGCTTGTGCTTTTGATTTATACTGCTTGTTATATCCCTTTCTTTACATACAAAAAAAATCAGACAAAAGTATCTAAACCGAGCATTTTTGCAAACAGTGAATACTGATACCCAGCACAGTTCCTAAAACACGGCAGGTAGACCCTTCCCTAAAGACAAATGTTTTAAACAGCAGACATCACTGTTGTTTCTCCAGATAACCCTGTACCAAACCTTGAACCCGGGACAGGATGATCTCGTTGGAGCTGCTGCACTGCTCGGGGCCGTACGGGGGGTCAATTGTTAACACCCCTGCCACACACAGTGTCCTGCCCAACTCCCCTTGCTCTGTCACAGGGATGTGGTTTGTTTCCAGCCACGTCTTCAAGTCATTCTTCCTCTTCTCCAGTTCCTCTGGGCTGTAGGCTTTGCTTTCTTTGGGTGCAAATATGCGAGAAAGGCGTTGCTTCATTTCACTGTCCCCTTCTTTCAGTATTTCGACCTCTTGGACAGCATGGCCCATGACAACCGAAATGGACACCTTTTCATTCTCCGGGAATGCTGCAAGGACAATGCTGTCAAGGAAAGAAGGATGTGTAAGTCTCTGTTCTTAACTGAAGACTGAGAAACACAGGCCAAGATTCGTGGAAATCATGCTCATTGGCATCAGCCTAACCCAGGTATTTAAGCAATAGACATTACCCAGCATTTTTCTTTGAAAAGAATGCTGCTGTACCCTTTAAGTACTAAAAATGTGGGCTTTGCAGACAATTGGTGGTCTTGAATTTGAAACTACTCTAGACACTATCAAGCAGAACATTAAAGAAGCAAAGTGTACATTAAAATCAGGGCTCGGAATCTAAATAATTTTGTGCAGCTTTCCCAACCTTGCTGAAGAACCTGAAGTCTTCAGAAACAATGATACCTTCAACACATTTAGCATTTTGAATACTAAAGGCAATGGTGACAGCTAACACCACTAGAACCTTTTAATGAAAACTTATTAATATTTATTGATCATTACTAACAGAATTTTTTTTTAATTACTGTTGCTAGTTTCTTAAATGGAAATAATAGTTTGAGTGTTACAAGGGGACACATTTCAGCAGGTTCAGGCTCGTGTTATAGAAGCTTCGTCTTTTCCTAAAGACACTTGCACCCCAGAAGTCCTTAAATGCAGGTGGGAAGGCAGCTTGTTATATTTCTAGATCAATTCCTCATATATCAAACAACTGTCTTCCTCTTCTGGGAACCAAAATTCCAGAATTTGATGCCAGCGCTTCACTAATCTATTGTTACCACCATTAGTGGAAGTAATGACTTTTTGGGCTATGTCCAGTGAAATATGCCTTGATTTCACCAGAATCACTCACTGCTGCATGCACCTTTCCTACCAAAATGGTAAGAAACTCCAAGAGGAGATTATCAGAGCTACTCTAGAGTTGAAGCAACAACCAATTCTTCTGATACACATCAGAAGCTGAATCTTTACGTTTCCAGCCTTCATCTTGTGCTCATCTGGGACAAGCTCAAAACTAAAAAGGTATGAAAGAGCTCTGGCAGCAAAGAGACAAATTTCTGCCTATTCCCTGGTGCATTCTGCCTCTCAAACCCTGTTTTCAAGTTACTCACTTGAGATACTAGAGACCTGTGGTACCACTTTCTGTCCAATGCCCCTGCTAATTTTCCTTGCTTCCTCTCCAAAGAAGCCACTACACCTCCATGAGTGTCTGGCTAGAGGGGAAAGCAGGGCACTGATGTGAGAACTCTGGACAGAGGATAAGGATTTCAACACCTAAAGCATTAAAAACATTCCTGCATTCCTGCTCTCTTTGTAAAGTAGGGCTTGGTATATTATTAAAAGCAGTCCTAAAGATGTGGAATGTTGAGAAGTAATAGTTGTTTAGTTTCCTTTGTAAGTTTTAAATAAGAGTAAGTCAGAGTTGTAATATTGTGTGTTTTAGTATGCTGTTCCCTTAGCTTTTCCTGCTTAACATGAGCAGCTGGATTTGCTGAAGCCTTAGGCTGCAAGCAGTGAACTTTCAATTTGCAGATACGCATTTGGCTGGTGTAGAGTTAATTTTCTTAGCAATTTTCCTAGAAGCCAGTACAGTGCTGAGTTTTGAGTTTAGTATGAGAATAATGCCAATAGCACACTGATGTTTTGGTTGTTGCTAAGCAGAGCTTACTCTAAATCAAGGACTTTTTAGTTTCCCATGCTCAGCCAGTGAGGAGGTGCACAGGAAGTACAAACCAGACGATAAGAAGGCTGCAGCCATCAGCAGAAGCTGCAACTCAACAAGAACAGTCCCTGTCTGCAGGGACACAGAGAAAGAATCCAATAAGGTGTTTGAAGACCCCAGACCAGAAATCACCACTGGACCAAGAAGCACATGCAAAGTGCATGAGGAGCACATAAGCAATGGCCACATGGGCTGTAAGGGTATAAAAGCCCAAGGACTTCTTTGTTCTGAGTACCTCTCCAGAGGCACCCAGCTCATGGTGACCTCATGCTGTACCACTGTATTACATTATTTATTTTTATAAACTACAATGTTGCTTTCTCTTAGGCCTTGCCAATTAAATAAACCAGGATACACAGCCCCAGTGTGCAGTTTTTGCTCCAAATGAGTTTGCTTCAGTTTTGGGATCTTTTCTTCTCCAAAAAAACACCTTGTTTTCTATTAGTTTTACAGAAATAAAAGCTTTGGTACTCACCTGGCAGAAACTGGATCAACTGTTAAAACCCATCCTTCATATTCGTGTTTCTCAATTGCAACAACTTTCACTAATTTGTTAACATATGTTTCCCAGTCTAGAGGGCTCTTCTTCTGCCAGTCATTCATATTTCCTACATCCAGAACCTAGAAAACAACCAGAGCAATTAGCAGATGCAGTGAATCCTTTTGCTTTGCTTTTCACGTCAGAACTGAGTTTGCCTCCAGGATAAAGATTCGTCTTAAGTAAAATTTACCATTTTTTAAAAGCAGACGTTCACACAAGTGTTTTGCATACAGCTGCAGTTCTGTAATTTCCCACACAGTTCACCTGTTTTTAAAGGCACACCAGCAAAGCCTCAAAAATCACTGTTCTGGTAACTCGACGCTTTAAACATTCCATTTATTGCTCTTGCCCTCTTACAAAACCTTCGGGATCGCCGTCCCTTGAAGGTAAAATTTTACCGCCTCTGCTTCGTGTACTGGCACAGCACTTGGGTCCAAGCCCTTCCGCTGCCTGTGGATAAGCGTTATCCCCCCGGAGCCCGGCTCTATTCTCATCCTCTACGGCAGAGCAGCAGCAAGTGCGTTCCACTCTTTCCCCCTCCAACATCTGCACTACCGAGAGCAAAGCTACCCCTGGTCCAGCATTGGATTCCATCCCAGCGTCCCCCCGCCAAAGGGGCCGGAGGGAGATGTGGGCAGCGCGGTGCGGGGAGGAGCAAGGGCTGGGGGCAGCTCTGTTCCCCGAAGGCTCTCTGGCGATGCCAAGGGGAGCGCTTGCAGCATCCCAGTTTCACGGGAGCAGGAGGCGGGAGCGCTCCGAGCCCCCCCCCCGCTCCCAACCCGCTCTCCCGCTCACCTGCCCCGTTCCCGTTCCCGTCCCCGCCGAGGGCTCTTGGGAACTGCGCCCGGGCGGGATCTGCTTCCTGCCGCTGGCGAGCGCCTTTCCCCGCCACGGGCCGGGGGTTTGTGAGCACGAAATGGGCCGATACGGAGGGTTTTTAACTACGGGTGTACATATAAATTGCTTAAAGGTTTACATGTACGAGGCCCGATTGCAAAACGAGGAGGTGGAGCCGATAGTGCAGTGGGACTGCCAGCTTCAGCAAGCAAAACCTCAAGCCTTTTCAAGCAATCCCTGTGCGTAAACAGGGGTGGATGCACGCTAATCCCTGTGCATAACAGGGATGGATGCAGGTTGTGTGCATCTCGTACATAAAAATAGGGTATTTTTGCTCCCCAGTTTTGAGTTGCCTTTACAAATTTTCCTGTGCCGCTGTGAAGGTGTGAAGCTTGATTCCAACACCCACCCCTACCCACCCCGGCTGCTCTATTTCAACAGCATTAAGGAAAAGCTTCCTACGGATGAACCAAACAAGCTGCCAGTCATGTCAGTAATTTGTGAAAGCGAGCATGCAATGTTTTTTTGAGCATTAAAAAAAAAATCAATGCTATGAAATGAGATAGTCGTATTTTGCAGACTTGATGTGATTTCCGTTTTTAAGTCTCAATTCAACTTCTGCAGTACTACAGGGATTACTTATGAATGGCTTGTGTCACTGTATTCAGCTACTGCTTTCTTTCAGTTATAGTTTATTGGAAAGCAGGGATAGCAAATCTAACTGCTTTCATTCTAAGAGCAAGCAGCACAATGGGAAAGCAGCTCCCGTTTAAAACAGCAGCAGTGGGAAGAAGAAACATAATTTGTTTTTATCTATATATATGCATTTTAGTTGTTTAACTGGTTCCCTTCTGGATCAGAGACTGGAGAGTGGTTCGTTAAAAGTCCCTTTTGAGCAAAATACTCCAGAAGTCTTCAGTTTTAACCCCTACCGATCTTTTTTCTCCACTATGGTAAGTGTAGTTACCAGAGCTCTCCCATCCTGAA